ACAGGCCCGACTTAACACTAGAGGCTCGACCAGCTCCTGTCAGGGGGGGCCCCAGGCAGGTCCCCCGGGACGAGCTTCGCCCTTCCCAGGCGCCCGACGCCACGAGCGCGCATCACTGAAGGGGCCCTGGGACTCACAAATAAATACACACAAATAACAGGATTCCGCATATTTTCGCATATTTTCTTGGTTTTTGTCTTCCCCCCCAATTCCAATATTTTCCTATATTTTCTGGGGAGTCCATTCATGGTGTCTGTGTGTGTGTGTGCGTGTGCGTGTGCGTGTGCGTGTGCGTGTGCGCGTGTGTGTGTGTGTGTGTGTGTGTGTGTGTGTGTGTGTGTGTGTGTGTGTGTGTGTGTGTGTGTGTCAGTGTGTGTGTGTGTGTGTGTGTGTGTGTGTGTGTTTCCCTCCTGAATCACCCTCAACTCCTCCAGGCCTCCACCCAGTCCCCGGGTCGTCCCTGGACAGTCCTGGGGCCCGGCGCCAGCCCCCAGAGGCAGACAGTGACGAGCACGAGCTCCCGTCGCGACGTCTCTCCCCACGGCGCACCACAAGGGGGGCGGGGGGACTCCGAGGCCTGGGCCGCCCGTCCCCCAGGGACAAGAGCAAAAAGGCTCGGCGGGGCGAAACTCGGCCTGGCCGGGGCCAGCCGGCAGAGCCGAAATATCGCCGGGGCTCGACCAAGACCGTGCTACTCGTTTTTTCGTTGTGCTGTCGTTGTCCCTCGTCTCGTCCTCGCTCCGTCGTCGCGGCAACAGAAAGAAACAACGAAGCCAGAACGAGCACGGTCCACGAAATCGCCGAAAACTCGTCCAGGTCGAGCCCCGGCTCCTCCTGGGCGAGTTCACTTGCGGCCCCCCCAAGGGACCCGCCCTCCCCCCTGCCGAGCAGCGGCGATGTGCCAGAGGCCCGGACCCCGCGCGCCGCCGAGGCGGCCGGCGCGCGAGGCGGGCGGGGCGCCCGCGGCTCCCTCGCATGCAGGAGGCCTGCCCCCCCTGTGCGGCTGCAGAGAGGCCAGACGTCCGGCGTCGCGACAGGATCGCCACGCGAGGGGCAGCACGAAGCGGCCAGCTGGTAGGTTCGCGCGGCGTCGGCGCTCGAAAAAAGACTTGTGACACCGCGACGGTCCTTCGGCCTTGGATCGATCGCGGCCCCGATCGCTCAAGGTTGAATTCCGTCGGATCCAGCGGCGCTCCCGTGTCCCTCTGTGCTCCCCGTTGCAGAATTCAACCTTGAACGTCTTCGCCGGCGTCGCCGGTGCGGCAACGCCGCATGAACCCACCGTACACCTGAGCGACGAAAACCAACGGATGGTACGCGAGATGACACAGCGACCTTGGGGGCCGCTTGGCGCGGCCTTGTATACGTGGTGGCTTACGCGGGCCGCCAGCGCTGCACGCTACACTGAAAACGAGGGCGCTGTCGGCGAAGACAACGTTATTTTTCTGCGTCGCTAGTCTGGCGTCGCGATTTGTTCGCAACGTGAGCGACGAAAGAAACACGGGATTCACGCAGAAGGCAACGCATCCTTACGCCGCGGCGTACGCAGGCCGCGAGCGTGTCACACCGCGCAGAAGAAGGGGACACTCGCGCGCGACTTCCGTTCTCTTCCGTCGCTCACGTGGCTCCCAAGAGGTATGGACCCCGCCCTGGGGACTGGCTCTTCATCCCGATGAAGGGGAGAGGACCTCAGGATCATGACCCAGACTGACCGTGGAAACGTCGGAGCCGACCTCGGCCACCGTCCACCCTGGCCCTCGCCACCCCGTGCATCACTCTCGCGAATCGGCGACGACCGGCGTGGGCCACGACCGAGATCGGCATCGGCGAGACCCCGCGACACCCTGGCCGCGGCCCGCGACATGCCCCCCCCCCCCTGGCCCGCGCCGCTGCTTCTCTTGGCGGCCCAGTGGGGGCCTGGCGAGGGCGCCCAGCTCGCCATCGCTCGGACGTCCATTCCCTGTGTTTTTCGTCGGTTTCGTGCGTGCTTTCTGCGTCGCCAGATGATCAAGGATGGTCCTCGATGGCCCTCGCCGAAGGAAAAGTGCACACGTCCCAGCGATGCCAGGCCAGAGGTCGAAGACGGCCAAACGCCCGCCGACGCGACCTCTTGTCCCGGCAGGCCCGGAGCGCGCACGGAAAGCATGAGTACTGGGACGGCCGTGGGGGGTTTCTGGGTGGACAGGGGGGGCTGACAGGTGGATGCCGAGGTGGGTTATATCTGGCCCAACCTGGCCCATGAGCGGGTGGCAGATTCGCCGAGTGGCCGAAGGGGGGAGAGATAACTCCGCCAAGTGGGCGGAGCCCGCTACGTCCGGATCCTTAGCACCCCGAAGCTACATGGGGCATTTGTAGCCCACTTAGGAGCCAGGGTGGGCCAGATATAACCCACCGCGGCATCCGCTTGTAACACCCCTATCCACGTAGAGACCCCCACGGTCATCCCAGTACGATGCACCCCAAAAAAACAAACAAATGCTGTCCAGAAGCCAACAGCGGCCGCCGCAGGGCAGACGACCTCTTGTCTCAGCTTGGCACCGTTCGCGGCGACACCCGCAGCGGGTCCCGGCAGGGACTGCTGTCGGTCTTCGTGCCCCTTCGCTCCGAACTCATTCCTGGACATCCTCCCACCCCGGGTCTGTTTGACGCTGCAACAACGGTAACGAAGGAGAGGGCGACGACTCTTTACGTCTCAATTGTCCCTAAAATTGCGGAACAGCTTCAGAATGGCAAGAAACGCAAGGAGGTTGCCGACCGAAAGCGCGCGACAATTCGCTCCAAACTCATTCCTGGACATCCTCCCACCGCGATTCTGTCCGGTCCGTGGGTCCAGGGTCCTCGACCCTTTCCCCGCGGGCGTGCTGTCCTTTTTTATTGCGCCCCCGATCCATGTGCTGATGGCCCCGCGGGGCCCAAGAAACGGTACTCCGCAGGCCGACAAAAAGGAACGTCGCTTAGCCTGAGGCAAGCGCATCATTGAGCGCTGTTTAAAACATTCGCGGCCATGACGGGCGCAGTTGGGGCCGGGGGAGAGGGGGGGACGGAAGGGTGCATGACGTAGCGGCCCCCCTCAGACCGTGGTGCCGGACGCACCGCGGCAGTGCCGGGGACGCACTGAGGGGGGGGAAGCGTTACGTCATAGGGGGGGTGTGAAAGGGTGCGGGGAGGGTAGGGGGCATAACGCGCGTTATGGCCCAGGGGGAAGGGGGGATGGTATGAGAGGAGGGGGGAGGCGGGAGGGTAGGGGGAGGGGGAGGGGGGAGGGGGCAGGAGGGAGGGGGGAGGGGAAAGGGTAATTAGGGGGAGGGGGGAGCGGGGAGGGGGGAGGGGCAAGCTAGGTGCGCTCGCGTCATATCTGACGTCCTACCCCTCCCTCCCATGCCTTACCAATGGCGTAGTTATCGCTCTATTTGCAGTCGGATGTCGCAGCATGGCGTAGCATTGCATAGCATAGCATGGTGTTGAAGATAAACGCGTAGCACGACATGGCATGGCGTGGCGACGCCCCAAAGTGGGGGGGGCTTCTGCGGCCAGGAAATCAACGAATCGACACCAAATGTGTAACCGATTGATTTTTCGGAAATAATTTGCTAGATGTTGGGGCCTATTTGGGAAGACCGAAAACAATGCCGTGGCATACACTGGAAAAAATGACGCCAGCGCTGCAGCGGGAGCACGATTCGGACCGAGCGGAAGCGCGGAAATGAGGCCAGCGTTGCAGCGGGCGCGCGATTCAGAACGAGCGGAAGCCCGAAAATGAGGCCAGCGCCTCAGCGAGAGCAGCATTAAAAAAAACAAGCGAAAACCCAGTTCCCGGATATCCTGCGCGCAAAAAGACGATGCGCGGAGGGGGGCCGAACATCTTCTGGACGTCATCAGGGGGATGAGGAGAGGAGTACTCCTCTTGTGCAATGGTGGAGGGTCGGGGTCGGGGGGAGGGCACCAAAAGCACTCTCGCTGGAGCTCGGGGCTTCGACCGTCTACTTCCCGCTGCCCCCGCGACGCGCGGACGTCTGCACGCGAGGCCCGGCGCCCACACGCGCCCGTCGCCGACCCAGGCGCGCGCGCCGCGCGCGCCGGGGGTGCCTGGAGGCCTCCTGGGTGGGGTCGGAGCAGAGGGGGTCGGAGGATCGCGCCGCACCGCCGATACCTCGGCGATGCATCGGCGAGGCATCGGCGACGCATCGGCGATGCACCGGCGATGCATCGCCGACGCGGGCGGTGCCTCGGCGGCGTGGACGTGAAGCCAATCGGGCTCCACGTCGAGCCGCATGGGCGATGCATCGGCGATGCGGCGCGGCCCTCCGACCCCGCCTTTGGACGCCCGAAATGGGTACGGAACGAATGGGTGCAATGCCCGGCAACAAATGTTGTCCCAAACCAACAGCGGCCGCTGTTGGGCAGGCGGCCTTCTGTCTCAAAGGGACACAAGCCGCGGCGACACCGACAGCGAGCCCTGTCCAGAAGGAGCAGGAACTGCACTGTTGGGCATCGTGTGCCCATTCTCTCCGTGCCCACTTGGGCCCTCCGACCCCACCCACTCCGACCCCAGCCAGGTGGCCTGGTGTGCCGCTCGCCCCCCCCCCCCCCCCGCGCGCTGCCCAGACCCCCGACGTCATGATTTTTTCATGACGCGACCCCCAGAGGTCCGGACCTATTCGCCGGGACCGGTTTTGCATCCTGAGTCGTTTTTGGACGGTCCCGAGGCCCGGCGAGGGCCCCCCGAGGCCGAAAATTAGGAAAAACCTCCCGCCGTGATTTTTTCACTGAGTCGTTTTTGGACGGTCCCGAGGCCCGGCGAGGGCCCCCCCGAGGCCGAAAATTAGGAAAAACCTCCCGCCGTGATCTTTTCACTGAGTCGTTTTTGGACGGTCCCGAGGCCCGGCGAGGGCCCCCCGAGGCCGAAAATTCGGAAAAACCTCCCGCCGTGATCTTTTCACTGCCTCGACGGGGCCTGGGCCCCGCGCGCTGGCCGGGGGGCGCTCCGCGGGGGCCCCGCCTCACGGGGCGGGCACGCCGCCGCCCTTCGGCGTGGAGCCGGCCGCCTGCCGCCCCGCCCCGCCGCCCCGCCGCGCGCCGGCCGGGGGGCCCCGCCCTCGGGGCGAGGCGGCGACGACGACGCCGACGGCGGCGACGCCGACGACGACGGCGACGACGGCGACGACGACGACGACGGCGACGACGGCGACGGCGACGACGGCGACGGCGACGGCGACGGCGACGCACTCTACGACGACGGCGACGACGACGGCCGGCCCCTCCCTCGGGCAGAATTCGAATGAAACTCATGGGAGCTGCTATGCGACATGAAGTTATATATACATATATATATATATATAGATACAAGACTGCAGTGGCGCTTCGCGCCATGCACCTTGGTCCTCGAAGTTTGGTGCGCAGGCGGAATAGCAGGAAGATCAAGCCGACAACTGAGAGATAACTCCTTGTTGCCTTTTCCGGCATCGCCGCTACAATGATGTTGCTTCGTTATCCTTCCTCCATGCTTTTTTTCCCTTATGTTCGCCGTACCCTGCGCATCCTCCCCATCCTCCTCAGCTCTTTTTTGCGGAGGCTCCTCCTTGGAGAGCCTCTGGGGGCCTCACAAAAGTTGTTCAGGCTTTCTTAAGGCCTTCTGGAGGCCTCCTGGGCTTATTCTGGGGGCCTCTGGAGACTTCCTCAGGCCACCCTGCCTCCAACCGCGATCTCCCTGAACGACCGGGTCACGATTTGGAATGCTTCGGAGGGTGTCTTGGGGCCATCTTGGGCCGCCATGGGGCTCTCTGAGGGCCATCTTGGACCCGTGTTGTGCCGTTTTGGGGCTCTCTTGGACTGCCTGGAAGCCCTTTCGGATGGTTGTGGGGCGATGTTGGAGCCTCCCAGGCGGCTTTGGACGCCCAGAAGACCGCCGTCTTGGAGCGTCGGAAGCCGAAAAGAGGAGAACCCCCAAATTCACCAAAAAACGACAGAAAATCAAAGATGTGTGCCTCTTGGGGCCTTCGTGGGAGTGCTCTTGGAGGCCTCTTTGGGGCCGTCCTGGAGGCCTTTTGGGCCATCTTGAGGTCACGTCGGTCACGCTTGGAGCGCTCTTGTGCTGTCTTGGGGGTCTCTGGGACGTCTCCGATGACCCCCCTGATCGCCCTAGCTGCTCCTGGCCTCCATCGCCACCGCGCGCCCGCTCGTTGTCGATGGCCGACGCGGGAATGAGCATCGTTGCCGTGGAAGCGACTAGAGCAGATACCACCGCAATGAGGAAGACCTCAGCCTGGGATGCCGCCCGACCCACGAGGCTGGCCAGCCCAGCGGTGGCAAGCTGGCCACCGTGGTCCATCGCGGCGTTGCGCCCTAGCCTGGGAGCGAGAGCGTCTCTCGGGTAGATGCCTGGGCTGAGGACCCCACGGCGGGGCCTTGAACACCGCCGACGATGGCGAGCAGGGCAAGCGCAACAAAAGATGGGCCAGAAAGACGCGTAAAGATACACCATCAGCGCCCCAGATGCGGTGCACCCGAGCGAGAATACCAGCACCTCGCGCCTGCGCTGGCTATCATTCATGAGGGCGCCGCTGGGCATCTGGAAAATCAGGCCCAACCACGCTGCCGTCGTCATGCGCACGCCGACGTCTGTCAAACTCCGGCCCCGTGCGCTGACGAGGTAGACGCTGGCCTACGGGCCGAGCATTACCAGCCTGGAACATATCCCTATCCCTATGCTGGGCACCTCCTCATCACGATGCCAATCTTAGGGATTCCCTTATTTTTGAGGGCGAATCCCTAAGATTGTCATCGCCTTTTGGCGTGTCGATCTTAGGGAGCATCGCGTGCAGGCCGGTGAGCAGGAAACTGACCACGTCCAGCAGCACGGGCACGGGCCACGGGACCCGCGCCGGGCACCTCCGCACGACATCCGCGGCGGCGACATCCGCGCCGGCGCCGAGTTGCCGTCAGGTGCGTCCACCGGCGTGTGCTCCTGCGCGGCGTCGGGCGCGACGTCGCCCGAAGCGTCCAAGCCTGGCCTAGCGCATGGCAGCTCTGGGCGGGGCCGCCGCCGCTCTCCGCGTCGGCGCCGCGTCGGCGCCGCCGCCCCCCCGCGCCAGAGCTGCCTCCGCCGCCGCCCGCGCGCCTGGCTCGTCGTCGCAAGCCGTGCGCGACTCCGCGGCGGGCATGGCCGTGAAAAAACAAGTCTGGGGAAAGTGCCGGGACTTCTGGGGACCCCGACTTGAAACGAACAGAATATTACAGTAGATGTCTGGGTCCTTCGGCCCAGGCGATATGGCAGGAGCCAGGACAGGTCTGGCGGATTGATGACTTCAACCCTGGCGTACTTCCCCGAGAAATTTTCCTCTGGGATGCGGACGAAACTCTGTCCCCGTGCAGGGAAAAAGTTTCTCGTGAAGCCCGCGGATTGGACAAACACGCAGTCGGATGTAAGAGCCGGAAGCCCTGGGATCTGACGCACATTATCGGGCGCTGCAGACCCTCACTAATCGATTTGAAACGTCGATTTGGCTCGAGAAACAATGTTGCACTGGTCGCGATGTATCACGATATGGTACATATAACATCTGAAAGCATACCCGCCACTGTGCCCTTGGGTCAATAGGTAGCCCCCAGAGGCCCAAAAGAGGCCCCAAGAGGCCCCAAAACGGCCCCCAAGAGGCATCAAAAACTGCCTCCAAGAGACTCCCGAGAGGCCTCCCACGAGATCCCAACGAACATCCAACAGGCTTCATACTCACAGCCTGGGCATGGCGGCGGGATGGGCTTAAGGCCATTCGATTACGACGGATGTGTTTTGCAGTTGTCGGCCTCGCGCATGCGAGGGCCGCCCGCGGATTGATGGAGCATATCAGGGCAGTCGAGAGATCCCCAGGCGGAGGCCTCCAGGAGGCCCGCCCAGGGCCACTGCAGAAGCCTCCAGGAGAGACCCCACAAAGACACAGAGAAGTAGTAGAAGCAGCCCAATCCTACTCCCCCGACTCTGGGGAAACCCAAAATGCACCGATACCGCTACTCCCCAGACCTCGCCTGGGGTGCGTTCTGACCAGGCTTTCGAGGCGGATCCAGCGGTGGCGACGAGGGCCGCCCAGTAGGCCCAAAAAGGAGGAAAAGGCCGAAGGGTAGCGGTATGGGTACCATTTCCTCCTCCGAGATTTCTCCCTCCTTGAGATCCGACGATGCCACAAAAGTGAAGCGTCATTGAACCTGCGACCGCAGCTCTGGACCCCATCTTCCCGCGGAATGTCTTCCGCACCAGACCGAGCCGCAAAGGGGCCCCGGGGACCGAACCTGCGCCGCCCAGATCTCAGCTTCCCGCCTCGCTCCCTGCCGAATTTGGCGGCTGCGAGCGAGGGGAGGGGGCATGAGAAAAGAAGGCCCGGCCTTCTCAGAAGGCCCGGAAGCCTCCCGGCCTTCTGAGACGGTCTCTGAGCCTCCCCCGACGACGCCGAAGACTTCGCACAAGGCCGGAGGGCTTCTGAGCAGCCCCGCCGCCTGCTCGAGGAGGCCTCCTCCTCCTCGCCTCCCCCCTCCTGGCTCGGCGCCGAGCTGCAGGACCCTGGCACGCCGACCTGAGGCCAGTGTCGCCCCCTGGCTCTGCAGGGTCCTGCAAAGGTCGTTGCGCCCCGGCCGACCCGGCGCCCGCCTGCCTCGGAAGCAGCTGCTCGTTCTGGGGGCCTTCCTGGAGCCACTCGCTCCACTCGTGCGTCGAAGCCGCGTCGAGCGTCCGTCGATTCGGAGTCGACCCGGAGTCGAGCCTCAGTCGAACCCGAATGGACATTTTCTGCTCGTGCGCCACTCATGCCGCATTCACGGGTCGCACTAGAGATGCACGCAACGTGGGCATGAATACAAAAAATTGCCCACGGCGTGCGCCAAACGGCCTTCGGGAAGATGGAGGAGCGGGGAGGCAAGCTATTCAGACAGGTGCTGGGCGTGGGAACGAGAGAAGAGACCGTCCCCATCACTGACCTTGGGCAGCATGGATGAGGACGACCCCGAGTGCCGCGTCCACTGCCATCGCATCCGATGGACGCAAAGAAAAACGATCCACCCAGGCCCCTGTCGCCTCGTCTGGTCCGTGGCGCCCCGTGGCGCCTCGGGGAGGCCCGAATAGGCCGAGGAAGGAGTTCGACCCTTCGCTCGGAGTGCGCATGGCTTCCGGTAGACTCCGAGGCAAGCGGGCTGTGACTACTGCGTGCCCAGTCCCTCCCCGCCCACCTGTATCTTAACCCCCGACGGCAACTCAGAGAACCTGCCATCGACAGGAGCGGGTCTAAAACACTGGGCGGAAATCCACTGGGCTTTGGCAGCCTTGGAGGAAGAACTACAACAACTTGTACAACGCTTGCCAGAACCATCGAGGACGTGACTGGTCACAAACTGCCTGCACACTGATGGGGCAGGGGGAGGCGGTGGCTCGCACACCTCCTCTCTTTTTCTCAGCGGTCTGTCTCTTTGCACCAGTTCGCTCTCGGTCCCCAGAGCATCAAGCGTAGCTCTGATCAGTGATCAGTCCGATGCCAAGGGGAGAAGAAGGAAGGGGAAAGGAGGAGAAGCTGCTGCAGGCGGCGTGCCGGGGGGCGGCCATACATACAAAAAAAGGCTGGTGCCGTGCGCGAACATCAGTCGGAATTTGACCGCAGTGATGCCGGCTGGCGACCCTGCCAGTGCTCGGGGCACCAGATGAGGAACGCAGACGCGGAGGGAGGCGGACGGGCAGAAAGGCGGAGGTGGGGGAGGAAAAGGAAGTGTCCCGAGCGTAGGCCACCCTCAGCGCGTGGTGCCAGGTTTTCTGAGGGATAGCAACGGGCTTGTGGGACAGTCGCGGAGTCCGTCGACCTCTTTTGTGTCATCAAGACGTGTGAGATTGACAGTGGGCCCCCCACAAACAAATGGGCAAACGGAACAAACACAACCCCGCGCCCTTGCCAGCCACCCCGAAGGTCCACGTGGCAACGAAAAGCGTCTCTTGGCTGGTCGGCAGAGCAAGGCGCGGCGATCTCGAGGGGCCCGGGCGCAGACGCCTCCTCTAACCCCTCCTCGTCTTCCTTCTCCCACCCATGTACCTTATCATCCCGCCCCGTCCTCCCCGCCAGCATGCAACCTGGTCAGCAAACAGGTTCGGGCCTCAGCCTGAATCCCACCAGCCCTCTGGGCGCAGGTGGTCTAGAACAGATCCTCTTCCACCCCTCCCTCTTCCCCCTTGGGGAGGCGTTTACCCCTCCCCCTACCCCCTCCCCTGGACCTGGACGGAGGGTTTCGCGAGCGGTCGGACGGCTCTTTTGGCCCCAAGATGGCTTCAAGAGCGCGTCAGAGAGCCCAAGATGAGCTCCAAGATGGCTCAAGATAGCGCAAGATCGCTCGAGATGGCTCCTAAGATGGTTCCAAGAGGCCCAAAGACGGCCCCAAGACGGCTCCTTGTGGCCAAAGAGCTCCCCGACGAGGCCCAACATCCTCCCAAAACCTGAAGAAAATCAATGTTTTTTTGCTTTCTCGCCTTTTCGCTTCCGATGGCCATCCGAGGCCTCAAAATGGTTCCAAGATGGCCCAAGAGGGCCCCACAAAAGGCCCAAGAGAGCCCCAAGACGGCCCCAAGAGCGCCCAAGAGCGCTCCAAGAGCGCCCCAAGAGCGCCCCAAGAGGCGATGTTTGGAGCTCCTGAGGGGGGGGAGGCTAATTAGGGAACCCCCCTTCGTTGATCGATCTCCTCCAAGATGACCCCAAGAGCGCCCCTACAGCCCCCAAGAGCGCCCCAAGAGCGCCCCAAGAGGCGCCCAGACGGCCCCAAGAGGCGCCCAAGAGGCCTCCAAGAGGCTCCCAAGAGACCCCCAAGAAGCCTCAAGAGGATCTCCGAAATGCATTTAAGACGCTTCTGGCTCTTCGGTTCGCCGTCCTCTTCAATTTCTCATCCCCCTCTTCCTCCTCCTCCTTCTCCTCCTTCTCCTCCTTCTCCTCCCTCTGCTCCTTCTCCTCCTTCTCGTCCTCCTCGTCCTCTCCCTACTTCACATCCTCCTCCTCATTCTTCTCCTCCTCCTCCTCCTCCTCCTCCTCCTCCTCCTTTTCCTCCCCCTCCCCCTCCGACGAGGATTCCTTCTCCATCCTCCCCCTCTTGGGGTACGTGACAGCTTCCCCCGCCCTTTGTTATTCTGCATGCTCTCCGACTTCCCTGATCACCTCAACTCCCCTGGGCATCGTTTCTGGATGGGCTGGTGGGGATACGCGAAGCGTCAACAATGTCTAGCAAACCATACATTGCAACACCCACGTGCGTCTGTAGCGGCGGAAAGATGGCAAAAGAACGGCACCAGGCTGCCGCTAAAGCCTCGGCTCACGAGAGCAACCGCTACATAGACACACGTCTGATGCAACCAGATTGGTCAGGCTGGTGAGAGCCGCCTCTCCAACATGTGCAGAGCTACACGTCGATCAGTTCTAATCGTGCTCATTTCTAATGGAGCTCGTTTCTAATTGTTCCTGACCCCCTAGCGGCCAGGAAGAAGCCCAGGATAGAACAATTAGAAATGAAAAGATCTTGGCCCCAAAAAATCAAAGAACTTCCGAATACTTAGAAACGAGCAGTGCATGTGTAGGCAGCACGTGCAGTCGTCAGACATTTGCGACAGCTTCGGACAGCATGTGCAGAGTCACTGGAGATTCAAAGCATGCAGGGTCTCTGGGCAAGCCCACTTTCCCCCGACACTTGTCGTATTGCGCCAGTCTGCGAGGGAACATTGCAGCATGCTGGCTGCACCTGGCTGTCCCCGCAAGCCGACCGAGGAAGCACAGTGATGTGAGCACCAAGAGTGGGCACTCGAATGAAAGGGCACCTACGCACTGCCTGCATCAATAAGGCATACCTTCCAGACCACTGCCGCATGCACAGGCAAAGCCGGCTGCCCCGTCCATCGACGTCCTCTCGCTCGCGCGCGTTGCTTTTCCACCCCCTGCTCATTTCTCCTCCTCATCATCCCCATCCTCGCCGCAACACCGACTCCCAGATGCCCCGCGCTGGCTGCATTGGAGCTATATCGCGCGCGAATCGAATCGTCATCTGCCGCCAAACTCGTCTCCTGGCAATGGCGCTGTGACGTGGGTTCAGGGGCCAATGTGATGCGTACCAGCACTGTCCTGAACGTGCAAGGGGTGTGCAATGCGATGCGATGCTTGCCTGTACCATTCTAGTGTGGCGGTCAACCTTTGGGACCGAAGAGAAAAAAAAGATGCACGACAGCTGCAACGCTTGACTGTACCAATATGCCGTGGCGGTTAACCTGAGGACCGCAGAACTGGACATATGCACCTTGGCTGCTGAAGTCCATTGGCACGGGGTCGGTCATGGACCGAGACAAGGGGTCGGTCCTGGACCGGGCCTGAGGTAGCAAGGACTCGGTCTTGGACCGAGAATGAGGTAGCAAGGGGTCCCTCATGGACCGCAGCTTAGCGCCTCGACTGCGACTAATCACGATCGAGACTGACTAAGATATTGGATGCCTGGCCTGCTTTCGGCCCTGTATCGGCGATGTTTGCATGTCGTGCTTCCCTTCCCGGGCGAACACATGCCTTATAACTTCAACCATGCGAAAAATGCTCTGGCATCGCGACTGGATTCAGCAGCATGACCTGGTTGAACACCTGTGCAGTGCGATTTGTAGCAACACTGACATAACCTGGTTGAACTCAAGCGAGTGGAATGCACTGTGCACGATCTGTATATCCACTGCAACAAACTACGCCGCAAAATATACACACTTCGGCGTCGCTGGTGATCATTGCCGCCTTTTTCTGAAATCCGGGCTCGCCGCACGCAAGAACGGGACACTTGGGATCCCAGAAAGGTGCGGTGACAGACCGTGCGGTGACCCTGAAATCCTGGTGGACCTCACCGCAAGGTCCGTCCGTCACCGCACGGTTTTGCACCCTGGAGGCTCCGATCGCCATCGAGGCATCCTCGGAGAAAGGCGCCGGCTCCTCAACCGTGCGGCCGCTCAGAATCCCCACCGACTCACACTGACTCACCACATGGTGTGGTCACTGCACCGTTTGGGATGCCCCGAGCGAGCCCTCACCCTCCCAGCTGCCCCGAAAAGCAACGCTTCAGCTGCCCGCGGAGCGCGCGGGCGCCGCCGACAGCGACCTCCCGGCGTGGCTGGGGCGGGCGCGGGCGGGGGCCGCCGCGGCCGGGGGCGCGGGCCCGGCTCGCTCGCTGCCGGACTGGCTCGGGCCCGCGGAGCCCAGGATGGTCTTGCGGTCGTCGAGGTTGGGCGGCCTGCAGCAGATCCTCTGGCCCAGATGGCTCGGGGCCTGCGAGGTCGTCGATGTCTGTCGCGCCTGCGGTCGCCGAGGTTGGTCGGGCTTGCGAGGCTCCTTCGACCTGGAAGGTGGGACGAACGCAGCCCTGTGGCTGCAGGGCTCGTTGCGAAAGGGACGGACGCTGCCCGACTCAGGGGGAGACCGCTCGTCCTCGCCAGCGATCGGGCTGCTCCGATGAAACCCGGCGCCCGCACCAGAAGGCCTCGGGGACTCCTCGGAGAGGTCTGAGGTCGACTCGGTGTCGCTCGTCTCGATGCCGCTCGTCTGGCCGCCCATTGCCTCGCTTGCTGACGAGCTCGTTTTCGACGGCGACCGCTCGTCCTCGCCAGCAATAGGGTTGCTCCGATGGAGCTCAGCGCCCACACCAGAAGGCCTCGGGGACTCCTCGGAGAGGTCTGAGGTCGACTCGGTGTCGCTCGTCGACTCGGTGTCGCTCGTCTGGCGGCTCAGTGCCTCGCTACTGACCAGCTCCACTCTTGGCAACTCGGGCGCCGAGAACACTTCGGCCACGCGCCAGCCCGACGTGCGGCTGTCGGGGCAAGACTCGGAGATCCTCAAGCCGAGCCTCTTCATCTGGAGAAGGTCGTGGAGAGTCACCGGAGGTCCAAGAGGAGGTCGCAACCCATGAAGCCTGCGGATCCTGCCCGGGCCGAGGACGCCAAACCCTGGCACGGCTTCACCGTGGCCGCTGGACGGTCTGCCAGCGACGGGGCGCCCGCGGGCCATCCTGGGAGTCGAGGGTTGCCTCGGCACGGGCGGCGCGCTGGACGCCTCCGCCCACGCTGTCGCCAGCCTTGGACGCGGGAGCTGCTCGCTGGATGGGAGGAGCGTGACGCCAGCGAGGCTCGCCATCCCTACGTTCGGGGCGTCGAGGGCCAGGGGTCCTAAGGCGCAGATCAGGGCGCTTTGCGCCCGTAGGAGGTTCACCCGACGGTCACTTGGGCCAAAGCGGCCTGGGCCAAGACGGCCTGAGCCAAAATGGCTACGGACGAACCTGAGTCGAATTTGAGCCGACCTTGAGGCGAACTGGGGCCGACCTGGAGTCGGACAGATCTGTCGGGTGGGCCCCAGGAAGGCCCCCCCCGCACGAGCATCTCGTTGGCCGCCCCCTGCCCGAGGCTCCCTGGAGGGCCCCCCCGAGGGCCAGCCACCGACGAGGGGCACCCGCACGAGGTCCGCTCCGTGCACGTGGGAGGTCTGAGGCCCCGGCAGCGCGGGCCCCGCCGCCACGCAATCTTGCGCGGGGCGAACTTCGGCAGAGCGACGCCGCAGCGATCGAGAACGCGTGGTGTGGTGGGACGCGCACAGACGTACCGGTGCTACATCAGAGTGAGGGGGCCGAACGGTCATTCATTGTCCCTGGGTGCGTGGCTGAAGTGGGGATCCGTGGTGAGGATTCTGCTTGCTGCGTTGTTACGTTGTTGCGTTGATGTTGTTTATTGTCGTCGTCCGCCCTGGCAACCCACCCGCGACCCACCCCGCGACCCACCCCGCGACCCACTCCGCGACCCACCCGCGACCCAACCCGCGATCCACCCCGCGATCCACCTCGCGACACACCCGCGACCCGCCCGCGACCCACCCGCGACCCACCCCGCGACCCACCCGCGACCCACCTCGCGACCCATCCGCGACCCAGCGGCGACCCACCCGCGACCCAACCCGCGACCCACCCGGTAACCCACCCCGCGACCCAGCGGCGACCCGCCATCGACCCACTTGCGACCCACCCGCGACCCAGCCGCGACCCACCCCGCGACCCACCCGCGACCCACCCCGCGACCCACCCCGCGACCCATCCGCGACCCAGCGGCGACCCACCCGCGACCCAGCCGCGACCTACCCAGATTGGTTTAACGAAAAAATCGGCGCCTGCGGCGGGCTCGTTTTATTATGTGTGAAACTTTGGCGCTTGCGGCCGGCTTCTCCAGAGTCTCGCAGACTGCCGACGTCGCCACCGCCCCCTCACTCTGATCCACATGTGCGGGGTGCTACGTGTGTGTACACACACATCTATATATATATGTACACACATATATATATGTATATGTATATGTATATATATGTGTTTATGTATGTGTTTATGTATATGTATATGTATATGTATATATATATATATATACATATCCGCCGACCCTGTCGGCGTGTGGAAGACGCGTCGTCCTCGGCGCGCCACCCTTAGCGAAAATTACCTACATCGTATATGAGCTACCACGCCACCCTCAACGAAAATGAGCTCCATCCTCAACGAAAATGAGCTCCATCGTAATTGAATCGAAGGGAAGCCTCTTCGCTTCGATCCCTTCCCCGCCGAGGGCCGAGGGGGGGGGGGGCCCGGAGGGGGGGGCCCGGGGGGGATTCCCGGGGGGGTCCCGGGGGGGGTCGCCACCCAGATACACACCCTCCCCCCGGCCTACTTTTCTGATTGTTTTGCCCATCCCGAACATGTGGGGGAGTGTCCTCCTCCCCCCTCTTCGCCTCCCCCTCCTCCCTCCTCCCTCCCTCCTACCTCCCTCCTACCCTAAACGAAAATGGAATCCCGGGACCTAGAAAAGCTTCACACGGGCCAAGAGTGCCACAAGAAGCCGCCAAGACGGTCCCAGAGGGTGCCGAATCGCCGAACCATCGGTCCAAGACGCCCAAGTAGCCTCCAGACGGCCCAAGACGTTTTATAGACGCCCCACGAATACCCCATCGGCGTGTGGAAGACGCTCGTCGTCGTCGTCGTCGTCGTCGTCGTCGTCGTCGTCGTCGTCGTCGTCGTCGTCGTCGTCGTCGTGGTCGTAGTCGTCGTCATCGTCCTCCTCCACCTCCTCCTCCTCCTCGCGTCTTCCTCCTCCTCCGCGCGTATTATCCTCCTCCTCCTCCTCCTCCTCGTACTTGAATGCCTCTGGCTGCCACCTTCATGGTGGGTGTCGTCTTCCAGGGTCGGCGGCACCGGCCGTAAGACCTTCGCAATCTATCTTTATGTATATATATATATATATATATATATATATAGATCGATATATGTATGTAATATACGTCTAAAGATATGTCCACCTTGGAGGCGCGCGTCCGATCCGAACATTTAGGGTATATCCCCACGAACGGTGCGGCCAGCAAGCGCCCGCCACGACGCGTGTGCTATGAGGCTTCTCGGTGCGCGCGCGTCGCCCCGTGGGTGGGGGTGTGTGGGGGGGGGGGGGGGGGGGGCGACGCCGATGTGAGGCCGACACGGGCGAAGGGCTGGGCCGTCGGCGCGGGCAGGCCCTGATGTGCAGAGGGTGCAGTGGGAGCTCGACCACAAGAGGCCTGCCACAAGGAACACCGCCCTGAGGCCCCAGGACGTTCGCCGATTTTTCGGATGACCCAGCTTGGCCCCTGGCTCACACGTCGTGTCTGTCCGCCTGTTTTTCGAGCGCCCGAAGCTGGCTCATGGCTCGCGTGTTCGTTCCGCGTGCGCCTTTTCTTTTCTGGATCCCTATGTTGCGACGTCGCTCACCTGTCAGTTGGGGGACACGGCCCGGCCATATCTGTTGGTGCTGGAGCGTCGCGCTTTCCAAAGCGAAACCATCGAAACCCAAAAAGCCCAGGGCACCCTGGAGGCAAGCAGGGTGCTGCCTTCCACTGCAGAAGAAAAAGCAGAGAGGCCCAGAATTAGGTCGGGCATGTCCTCCTACAGGTGGATCTGGGAAGGGCTACCAAAAATAAAAAATGCTAAAATGATTATGACAAAAATAAGTGAACAATCGTCCCCAGACTATTTTTCCCCAGTCAGTATTTACACTGAAGAGGTCCTAGCGGACATCGAAGAGATTTACGAAACTAGCCAGCTGATTTCGATGGGCGACTCTCGGTGGGCGGCTGTCGGTGGGCGCCCCCTCAAGAGATTTGCAAGAGATCTGCAAAGTAGCCGGTCGATGTCGGTGGGCGGCTCTCGGTGGGCGGCTGTCGGTGGGCGCCCCCTCTCTCCCATTTTCTTGTCTATTGCTGATGCTGATGTTTTTCAGGGCCATTGTGGAGACGTAATGTGGCCTTCTTGAGTCGTCGAGGGGCCCTCTCAGGCCGTCGAAGGTACCTCCGGAGGCCCGCCTGGGTAATATTGGAGACCTCCTAGGCCATTTTGAGCCGACGGATGCCCAACATGGCGAGCCTGCCGCAACCCTTCCAACACGTAAGGGCAATCAATGGGTTAGCCTTCCAAGGCTCTCTTGCGACACTGCGGACGGGCATGGTGCTTGCAAACCTTTCGGACCACCTGCTTACTCGGTTTTTCTCCGGTGCACTTGGACTACTTTTGAATATTCCTCCACTGTAAAGGAAAACCAGCGAGGCCCAGGCTGAGGTCGGGTATGTCCTCCTACAGACGACTTTTGAAAGAAAAAACATAGGTGCAGCTGTGTTCAGAAATAGCCAAAAATAGTCGGAAAGCGTTCCCACGCGACTTTCGAACTGATTTTGACAACTCCTCCCGTAGAGGGACATGCCCGACGTGAGCCCAAAAGGGCAGGCGCGAGGCTGCCGACAACCGTGGGCCCCCCTGCTCTCCGCTCCCCCCCGCCGCCCGACCGCCTCCTCGCGGGGGCGCTCCGCGCGCGCTGCCAGGCTCTCATGCTGGAAAACAGCGTACGGGCAAGGCTTGCGAACGATCTCTTCTTCGGCGCTTGGACACTGGGCGGAACGGTGGAGGAGGAGGGGGAGGAGGAGGAGGAGGAGGAGGAGGAGGAGGAGGAGGAGGAGGAGGAGGAGATGGAGGAGGAGGGCGGAGGAGGAGGAGGAGGAGGAGGAGAGAGGAGGAGGAGCACGAGAGAGGAGGAGCAGAGAGGAGCAGGA